TGGAAGATTTAAACTTTAACGGACATCTTGACCGGCGAAAGAAACTGAAACTGAAACTCTGCCGCACGGTCCCCTGGTTCCTTGGAAGAGGCGGAGAGGTGGGTGTTTGTCATCTGCTGGTGGACTAACCGGAGAGGATTACAGTGCTTGCCTCGACGGGGAGGGATTGCATTGAATTAAAGCAGCAGGAGCAAACGCTTGCCTCGGGGAGGGAGAAAGAAAGCCACAGCGGAGAATAAACAGAAGGGTAACCATGGTAACTATGGGCGGGAAGTCTTCTTCGCTGCTTTTGTGGCAGACTACAGCGCCACTTACAGGCCTGGCATATGTACTACAGCGTCTCCAGCGCTTTCTAACGGCAATGGCCGTGGCTGTCTCCTCCTGATTGGTGGAGTTGGCCCAATAGCCGTAGCGCCACCGTCCTGACGTCAGGACAGTGTTCAAATCTGGATCAGTTTTTATCAGATCCGTTGCAGCCCCTTTTTTAGAGATTTGGGTATGGAGGAAAATAGAGAGGGTTGTGTTTTCTGACACTTGGTGAGTTCCCTGGAACACCGGGGACACATATTCATGTGTAAAAGACGTACAAAGGTGCATTTTGCATGATAGGTCCCCTTTAATTATTTTGAGTTCACCCCTTAATTTTGTCTACCGCTGTGTCATTCCTTATTTTATTTGTTTACCACTGGCAGGAAAATTGTACCCATATTGGTTGTTTTATATTTCATTTGAAAAGTAAAAATCTTTCTTTCTCGCACTTTACTATTTTTTGTAAACGCCCCACCCTTAAAATGGCACAATGGGGCTAACAAAATCCACCGCTGCTCAAATTCAACACAAAAGACACCTTTGAAATCATCAAATCCACAAGATGTATTACAATTAACATGTAAAATGTTCAAATATCAATGTTCGAGGCAGAGACACAGCAGTCGTCCCTCTTCTGCTGCTGCACTGGAGCGTTTAACCTCCAGAAACAGAAAACAGGGAATACATACAGTACAGTCGTAACAAAAGTTAAGAAAGGTCAAATAATGATTGATTTAGGAAAGCTTTCCAAAACATAATCAATCAATCAATGTTTATTTATATAGCCCAATATCACAAATGTTACATTTGTCTCAGTGCACTTCACAGTTTGTACAGAATATCAGTGACAATACGACCCCCTCTGTCCTTAGACCCTCTGTCCTTAGACCCTCTGTCCGTAGACCCTCTGTCCTTAGACCCTCTGTCCTTAGACCCTCTGTCCTTAGACCCTCTGTCCTTAGACCCTCTGTCCTCAGACCCTCTGTCCTTAGACCCTCTGTCCGTAGACCCTCTGTCCTTAGACCCTCTGTCCTCAGACCCTCTGTCCTTAGACCCTCTGTCCTTAGACCCTCTGTCCTCAGACCCTCTGTCCTTAGACCCTCTGTCCTTAGACCCTCTGTCCTTAGACCCTCTGTCCTCAGACCCTCTGTCCTTAGACCCTCTGTCCTTAGACCCTCTGTCCTCAGACCCTCTGTCCTCAGACCCTCTGTCCTTAGACCCTCTGTCCTCAGACCCTCTGTCCTTAGACCCTCTGTCCTTAGACCCTCTGCCCTTAGACCCTCTGTCCTTAGACCCTCACATCGTACAAGGAAACACTTCCAGAGAGAAACCCCACAGTTTAAAGGAACATGGGAGAAACCTCAGGGAGAGCAACAGAGGAGGGATCCCTCTCCCAGGACGGACAGACGTGCAATAGATGCCGTGTGTAAATTGAAAAGATAATACATTTACAACATAGGTAGACCAAATGTTTGGAAATGCATGTTTCTATAATAAGAAGATGAATCCACGAGGATGTCAACAATCCTGTGGGAGCCATCAGGGAAGTAGTATGATGAAAGTCAGGCAGGACCACAGAGACAGGTTCAGCCACGACTCGAAATCCAGGACTCAGATCAGCCACAACTCAGGATCCAGGACTCAGATCACGACTCAGGATCCAGGACTCAGATCAGGACTCAGGATCCCGGCGTAGATAGACACCAAAAAGAAATGTGGGGGAAGCTGGGTTATTCAGAACATGAGAGTACACAGGTACAGACAGAGAGAAGGAAGAAGTGAGGTCCCCCCCGACAGTCTAAGCCTATAGCAGCTAAACTAGGGGCTGAATCTAATCAGCCCTAACTATAAGCTTTATCAAAAAGGAAGGTCTTAAGCGCACTCGGATAGGGGGTCTGCCGCCCGAACACAAACTGGAAGCTGATTCCACAAAAGAGGAGCTTGATAAGAAAAGGCTCTGGCTCTCATTGTAGAAGAACAGGAGTAATGTGGTCCCTTTTCCGACCATGGGTTTATCCTCTGGGGGAAATGAATATGCAAAACTAAATTAGGGATGCCGTGTTGGCCTTTTAGATAGTTGGTTCACAGATTAAATTATCTTTAAAACAATTAGATAATTAGCAATTACATTTAGCACAACACACATTCATGGTCCCCAGACTTTGGTAGGTCAAATAATGACTGATTTAAGGAAGCTTTCCAAAATGAAATGGGTTTACACTGACTGTTTTATGTCGCAGATCAATACATGAAAGTCTCTTCAGCTTGTGTTTCCGCTGTTTTACCACAAACATGTTCACAAAAGAACAGGAAGTGGTAAAATGTTGACCCATTTCCAGGTTTGAGAACTCATTTCTGCATCTCTCTATAGTGGAAACAAACCGTTGTTAACAGCTCCCCACCTCAATGCAGTAAGAACAACTTGTTCAAGAGTACATAGTGACTCTACTCTTGAACAAGTTGTTCTGACTGTAACAAACCTGGAATGTGATCTCATTATTGAAAGTATTTAAGTGAGCGCGTCACTTTCTTCTTCAATGTGTTCAGGTTAATTATTAGGTTTGCAGAGAGGGATTCCCTCACTGTGTGTTGGGTGTGTTTGAAACAGTTTGAGGTGTTCCCTCGCTGTGTTCTCCTCCCCATGATGTGGCAGCTGGGTGTGGATAAGATTATGGTCACATTGACATTAACATTTACGATCATCATACTATTACTGTCCCCTGACCTTTCACCGAGCACCAAAAACCAAGCCACAATGACAGAAAATGCTTCGTTTTAGTTTAACACACACAGTTAAGCTCACACACACTGTTTTATGAACATATAGGTTCGCCTGCTGAATTAAAAACAGAACAAATGAACCAAAGAAAGTGAAAACCGTAAAGTGTTAGCCGACAGAACAGTACAGCTGACAGAGAAGATATAACATCTGATCCTTTTACAACAAACACTAGATGCTCTTTTTAGGTTTTTACTAACACTGTAATCCTTCTAGTAAGCTTTTTAGAAATGTACCATTAATCTGTTTTTTTTTTTAATGTAACTGTAAGGGAATACAGTTAAAGGTGGGGTAGGTAAGTTTGAGAAACCGGCTCGAGATCGCTAGAATTTGAAAATACACAACCGGAGAAAATCTGCCACTTCCTCACAGAGCCCCTCCTCCAACACACACGAACGCGCACATGACCAATGAGGGCACGAGATAAGTTTGTGCACAGATGGAAGGCTGACAGGCAGGTAGGCCATCCAGTTATTTGAGCCGGGCCGGCTCAGATGATTGGTCGTGCTTTTTACAGTACTACAGCTTCCACAGGTGATATTTATTTATGGATTTATTGTCAAAGCACTTCAGATATTCATTGCTATCGGGATGTTAAGAGCATTCCATGGAATATAACAACAAGTGTATCTCGAGCCGGTTTCTCAAACTTACCTACCCCACCTTTAATCGTCTGCTAGTTAGCTAACGTTTCAAGCTAAATAGCACATTTACAGGTTAACTTGTCTTTATAAATGTCAACACTGTGGACTTTTTCCTATCTAACTATCTATCTATCTAACTATCTATCTATCTATCTATCTATCTATCTATCTATCTATCTATCTATCTATCTATCTATCTATCTATCTATCTATCTATCTATCCATCTATCCATCCATCTATCTATCTATCTATCTATCTATCTATCTATCTATCTATCTATCTATCTATCTATCTATCTATCTATCTATCTATCTATCTATCTATCCTTATATCTATCTATCTATCTATCTATCTATCTATCTATCTATCTATCTATCTATCTATCTATCTATCTATCTATCTATCTATCTAGCATATTATATTACTTCTTTGTAAGATGTGCTGTTCTGTAAACTAATACTTTAATACTGACGCTATGTAATCCATTACTCCCCATATCTGAATATTGGTATAAACCATGACTTACTAGCTGAGTATGGTGTGTTATTTCAAAAGCACTGGGCTCAGGGATTTGTAAGGACATGTGAAGGTTTACAGTCTGGCTATCAAGCGTCTTATCAGACAGTTTCTGTGTGGATTCAGAAACAGTCTAAAGATCAAAGTCAAGGTCGGCACGTCTCTGGGCTCCCTGGTGTTTGGACGCTGGATTAAAGCTGAAGAGAGCTTTTATTTTCTGCCAGCACACCATATTCTCCTGCCTGCTAGTAACCACACAGTGTTTGGTTTTAGATACACAATAGGTTTCATTACAGGCGAGAACAGATCAAATTAAGGACTGCATTTCTTCTCCTTATGGCACAAAATGAATTATTGTAATGCTCTTAAAACCATTGTGTCAATAATAGAGAAATGTTTCATGTTGAGTGTAATTATTATAATTAGTTGTATTTTACTTTTGGTACTTCAGCTATATATTGATGCAAATACTTATGTTCTTTTTCTTGAGATTTTTTAAATACAGAGCTTTTATTTGTTACAGAGTATTTTTGCAATTTAGTAGACTTAAATATCCGAGTCCTTCTTCCACCACTGAGTATTTAAAGACCATAATATCCTACTTTTACTTATTTAAACCCTCTTCTCCTTCTTTACTAATGCACCAAGAGGAGTGTTGGTTTTCCTTGCAGCACCTGAAGGCATCAGTGTTTCCTGTGTGGGAGGGGTTGTTTATAGCACGCAGTAAAAACTCCCCCCCACCCCACACACACACACACGCACACACACACACACTCACACACCGCCTCTGTCTGTTATTATCCAACACAGGCAAGTGCAGAACACACACACACTCTCACACACGCTCACAGATTACTCATTAATTTTCTCGGAGCTCCAGGAGTTGCAGCACATTTCACCGACTCTCAGAATCTCAGCATGCCGTCTCTGCGACACTCCTACACGGTCACAGCTGCGGAGGAACCGGCCTCTCTGCCCGGCTCTGAGAGAGCGAATCTACGGAGGAAGAGCCCTCCTCTGTCCCGGACCAAGCTGGTTACCACCTTCATGGGATTGATCATCAACCAGGCCAAGGTGAGTCCGAAACACTGCACCCTGATCCCCTAATACACCCTCCTCTTCCTCAGTTTTTAACTAACTTTTGTAAATATGTTTTAAAAAATATATACAAAAATAAAATAAAAACCTAAAGACCTGTATTATTAATATTAATAATAATCCAAAACACTGCACCCTGATCCTCTTCCACAGTTTTTAACTAACTTTTATTTAAGTTTAATAATGGTATATGTATCCTACTTGTGAGACATGGTATTTTTCATTTATTGAAAATTAAAAATAAAACCTAAAGGCCTGTATTAGATCAGGATCAGAATCAGAATACCTTTATTATATACTGTATTATTAATATTAATCCAAAAACATTGCACCCTGATCCTCAAACACAGTTGTTAAGTAACTTGTGTATATTATTTAAAAAAAGGTATATCCTTCTGGTGGGAGACGGTATTTTTCATTCATTAAAGGGGACCTATTATACTGTTTTTCATCAATATATCACAGGTCTCAGATATATACAGAGCCTGTCTCTGATTGGCTGAAACACCAAACAGATCCAGTGTTTCCCACAGATCTGAAATATACTTTGGGGGGGGGTGGTGGTAACTGGGGGGGGGTTGAGGTGACGTGTGGGGGGGGGGTTAAGGTGACGTGCCGTGCCTTTGTGACGTGCCTTTGTGACGTGCAACAACATTAACATTAACCTTTCTGTTGGTCGCTTATTAGCAGACCCTTCACGCCATGCAGAGCGAACAGGTTCAGGCAGGGCCCGTAGTGACAGCCCTATAGTTTCAATCTACTACCCACAAATAAACATATGGACATGGGTTACTATTTAAAAAAAAATGGTAAATGTATTTAGGAACCTATCCATGTGATTTGAAGTGGGGGTGGACCTCAAATCCTCTAGGGGGGTCCTTTACATTTTGGAGTTAAATGCATCAATCTGGTGCACTTTGAGGGGCAAATAAAGAGACTAGATCTATGGGAACACCCATATGAAACAGAACTGTACACATTTCAATAATCATCAAATCATGGCCATAACCAATAACATCCATTTCAATATGAAAAAACACTGAAACTTGTTTATTTATTTATTTTTGGTTCATTTATGAGTGTGTCTGTGCTCCTGAACCAGCCTCTCCCCCCTCTCCCCCTCTCCCCCCTCTCCCACCTCTCCCCCCTCTCCCCCCTCTCCCCCCTCTTCCCCCTCTCCCCCCTCTCCCCCCTCTCCCTCCTCTCCCTCCTCTCCCCCCTCTCCCCCCTCTCCCTCCTCTCCCTCCTCTCCCCCCTCTCCCCCCTCTCCCCCTCTCCCCCCTCTCCCCCTCTCCCTCCTCTCCCCCCTCGTCCCTCCTCTCCCCCCTCTCCCCCTCTCCCCCCTCTCCCTCCTCTCCCCCCTCTCCCTCCTCTCCCCCCCTCTCCCCCCCTCTCCCCCCTCTCCCCCCTCTCCCCCCTCTCCTCTTTGAGGCAGCAGCAAAGACTCGTTTTAGCTCTCAACAAGTTGTAAAAGTTTATCTTACCTTTTTTCACCTACTTCACTTTTTTATTTTTTATTCATGCATATTTAACTAATCACTCCCTCAAATGGAAATATGTGTTTACATAAATGGTGACCAAACCGTTTGAGACCCACTGAGAACTTAGACTAATGGCTCGTTTCCACTGCAGCGCGGAGCCCGGTTTAAGAGGGCTGTGACGTCAGCGGCCCGTCTTTGGTTGCGTTTCCACTTGGCCTAGTACCGGCCGGCGGGTCCTAATTCACAGTTTTTCTGGCCTCATAAAATCGTGGGTCTAGGGCCAGAGACAACGAGGCTGAGTCGGGCTGAGTATGCTAAACTAGAGAGAGCATCGCTGGCAAGGGGGCTACAACTACAACAAGATGGACATATTTGACCGTGATTTAATTGTAATACACGTTTCTAAATGATGAAGTAACAACATACTGATACCGGTTAGTAAAAACCATGAATTAATGCTTTGTCAAGTCTGCAGACAGACGGCAGGAGAAACACCTTTTAAAATGCTTGTTTTCTAAATGGAGATTGGCTAAGCTAACGCAGTATATGCTCCGACCGTCCACACTCACAACAACGGCCTATACAGACATAAATAAAGCAGCGACTGTATTCTCCATGACACAGGCAGTCTGTGGTTTGTACTTGTTTAACTTTTGTCTAGTTTCTGAACAGATATGAGGAGCTGTGAGCTCTGAGTGCTAACAGCTAACGGCTGTGTTGTTTTTCTGGGGTTCTCATTGAAGATGACGTCACGGCTCCGCCTACACTGCGTTACTATAGATACTACCCCAGTTCCTAAACTGTAATGGAAATGCGCCATAAAGTGAGCCAGTCCTAACGAGGCCTAGCCGTACCGAGCGAGGCCGTGTAGTGGATATGCGCCATAAGTTAACTATCTAAACTCAGAGAGTCCTTTACCTCACCTGAGCTGAGGTTATCCCGAGCTTGAATGACACACAGAGACCAATCGAGGGCTCTGATGTATGATCTGTATGACAGTGGCCATGTCGGCAGGCCACATCATGTAGACAGCCAGTCACCCTGTGTGAGGCAGGCCACTTAACAGGCCTGGCCATCGGGAAACCCCCCGGTCCTCCCGATGGCCAGTCCGGGACTGGGCATTTATTTACCATTTATTACAAAATAATAATCTGGTTTTCACTATATATCTTTTCTTTGTACAAAAGCACCACTGTATCCTTAAAAAGGATGCTTTCATCTAAGGGGTTTTTGTTACATGGACAGTAACCCAAATACAGACTGAACAATGGGTTAGGGTTAACTCTCAGAAAGGGAACTAGTTTTCTTTTCTTTGCCTCAAATCTGATATCAGAAATATATTCCACCCAAATATTTGTTCAAGTCTGCTCGATTATCGATTTATATATTGGTTTGTTAAGAAAGGGAAAGCGTTGTCATGGCAAACTAAGTTTTGTTTTTAGCCTGAAGATCATAAAGCAGATTTGGTGACACATGAATTGCATTTATTGCTCTGCAGAACTGAGTCATAACCAGTAGAAATATGAGATAATATAAGATAATATGGTCAGTTTAGGGTCATAGTTTGTTAGTTCAGGCTTTGCACGATATATTATTTTAGGGCTGTCAAGTTAACGTGTTAATAACGCTAATTATTTTAACGTGCGATTAACGCATGTGTATTTGTCATCGGCCCGCGCCGTAGTTTCAGAGCCCAAAGGCTTGACGTTGTTGTTGTTGTTGTTGTTGTTGTTGTTGTTGTTGTTGTTAGTTGGATGGTGGGAGATTCTAGCGAGAGATATGGATCCAAACAAGGTGTTTTAAACAGCAAGCCCAGCTCACAGCTGATGCTCAGCCCCGCTCCTGCCGCTCGCTTGCGGCAGAACACGCTTGAAAGTTTGCCGGGGAGACGCCTGGACACGTCTACGAGCAGCAAGCTTTCAACAGCTAATGGTTGGCTACAGCTTGCAGGACAATTGACATGGTGGAGGGAGAGAGAGAGAGAGAGAGAGAGAGAGAGAGAGAGAGAGAGAGAGAGAGAGAGAGAGAGAGAGAGAGAGATAGAGAGAGAGGGAGATATATA